TCTCTCTCTCTCTCTCTCTCTCTCTCTCTCTCTCTCTCTCTCTCTCTCTCTCACTCTCTCTCTTCTCTCTTCTACCCCCCGGTTCCCTCATGGAGCTCGTGAGAGAGCAAGAGCGGATCGGCTCTCTCTGGTGGGCGCCACGTATCCACCACCACCGTCGCCAGTGGACGTACGCATTCCTCCTCTGCTCATCCGAGGGTGCGTATCCTTTTACGTCATCGCGATTTCCGAAAGGTATAAGATCTCAGGGAGGGAACGGGAGAGAGAGAGGAAGGGGTTGAATTTTCGTTCGTGCAAAACTGAAATGAAAAGTTGCGACCGAAGGATAGAGAGACGTGGTTGTTGCAGCTGCGAGGGCGGGCGAACATACGTTTGGACACAAACGGCTCGTAAATAACATCTTCCTGGGGGTTGCAAGGATTTTCATTATCGTAGCGTGAAGAGTGAATCCGCGTTAAGCAGCGAAATATGTTGTTTCCTTCGTTTCCATCGATACCCCGAGGCTTGTCTTTTTATCTAGCTGTTGCGAAAATTAGGTATTCCCGTGTCTTTGAATATTTTCCTATTGTCGAGAAAACCAAGATGAATTTTATGGTTTTGACTTTGACATTTTTGTCTGATTACGATTAAAATATACGATTAAAATAGCGAGGCAAATATTCGCAGTCAAAAATTAAAGCAGTTTTATTATTTGGTTCTTTTACGAAATGAAAAAACTATCTCTTTTACGAAATGAAATCAAAACTATTTCTTTTACGAAATGAAAAAACTATCGCTCTTGTTGCAAGAAATTTCATACTTTTTTTCTCCACATTTTCTATCGTTTTAATATTTGGAAAAGTGTTCTTTTTTGATATGCTCAAAACATCACGCCATAATTATTTCTAAATTACAATACAAAGCGATAAAAACTTAGCTTTTTGCTAAAGACAATTTTTCATCTTATAAAAAAAAATATTAGATAATGTGAGAGAAAAAGATAGAATCTATATCTTTGAAAAACGGATATTTCTTTAAATTTTCTTTTCCATCTTTAACTTCAGACATTTTCCATTTTTCCACTTTCAAAGATCGAAAAATCCAATTATTTTCGAGTCTGTTATCATAAAATTGCGATACCCTCTTATCGGGGTCACGCCGACGTAATGGCCCGCACTGTCCGGGTTTAATCGTAGTAATTGCAGGCAAAGATTATGATAGATCATAGACTTATCTTGAAGACGTATCGTATACTTCATCGCCGAGACATGCGTGATGGCCGTGAACGCGCAATTAAGACGCGACGAAGAAAACGCACTCCCACGCATACGCAGTGGCAGAAGATACCCCGCGATATCGATGCGATCCGCAAGCGGAACGCAAAAGCTTAAGAATCGCAATCTCTCTGATCTCTCGCCGTTGCGAGATTTGTACACACAAGCGAACGTTGATTTCACAATGTATACGTACGTAATCGCAATTCCATTCACCGCGACGCAAGAAAATCCAACGAGCTCTCTGCCAAAGCAGAAGCGTTTCCTATTCTTTTCTCCTTTTTTTTCCCCCTTTCTTTTTTTATTTTCACCACCGTCGTGCGACGTCATACCACGTCATACAAATTTGCCAGGAAATTCACGAAGTATTTTGTAAGCGTGCATACGCGATACGGGATGAGATCACTCGTGATCTTCTACAGCGAACCGCGATCTACATCAATATCACTGTTGACGGATACATCCTCATTATTACGGATTCGGATTTCTTTTGACTGTCCTCGCAAAGGATCCGCATTAATAACCACGAGAATCTGCTCAACAATGAGGGTAATTAATATGCATTCATGTGAATCTTTTCGAGTAGCAAGATTTGCAAGACAAGTGTCGATGGAACGCGAAAGATGAATTCACTTTCACGATTTGTATCTGTCTTGTCTCTGGGAATATACCCCAAGTAGTACGAACAAACGTATACGCCGACAGGTAGTACGGCACACGAAACTATATTGTAATTGCGAAAAAATTGCTACGTATACAAATTCACAGGGATTATTATTTCGGGACGAATTTCGCAACAACGTTAGAAAGAAGATGGAAAGGAAAATGCACATTATAAGACTCTAATATAAACATCAAATAAAAAATAGACAAATGAGAGCCAAGCGGAATAAAGAGGACGTAAACGTTATTTCTTTTTTTTAATTAATAGTAAAAATGTTAAATCGAAAACTCGGATCGAAACATTTCATGCAGATTTCATTTGTTAGTGTTACCGCTGTACGTGTGTGTGTGTGTGTGTGTGTGTGTGTGTGTGTGTGTGTGTGTGTGTGTGTGTGTGTGTGTGTGTGTGTGTGTGTGTGTTGTGTTATTTCTTTTTCTTAATTAATAAGAAATGATTCGAAATTGAAAGATTTTGACAGTCGCGCTTTGAAAAAAACTAATTTGCTTGACACAATGAAATTATTGTTTTTGTAAACATAATTTCATTTGCCTATCTCACTTTTTTATTGTATATCGACTACTACCTCATTGATTTGACAAGTTATGATCGCAATAATTCAGGCATTCTATCTCATTGATTTGACAAGTTATGATCGCAATAATTCACGCATTCTCCCAATGGCTAGCTGGGATTAATTAAGATAAGAGACCGTCTGTGTATTAGGCTTTGTGATCAGACGGATGGGATTTTTAGTATCAAGGTCCTATCGCATAAGGCACGCATGACATGCAATTGCATTTCGATCATAACGACGATTATAATGAACAAAATCGTTGATTTTAATTAATTTGATAAACACATCAATCGTAACAATAAAGCAATAAAGTGTAACATATAATTATAATTGAAACCGCAAGACAATTCCATCTATCTATGAATATATAAAAAAATATGTCACAATTTCGGTACAACACGTCGCCAATAAGGCATCACGATAAAATTATTAATTAGAAATGTAAAGCAGTTTGTATTTACGAAGGTATAATCACGCAACGATTCCGTTAGATAAAAGACATAACTAACCGGTCGCTGGATATATCAAACGAGACTGTTTATCGTTGCGAAATTCGTTTTTACTTCTCACATCGTCCGATTTGTTATTCTTGTCGATGGAATAAGTCTGTTACTATGTTATGACCTACTATGTTATGTTATTAGATGACAAATAAAAATGGATTCGTATTTTTTCGCGAATGTTCATAATTTCCACTTTGATTTTAACAATACCGAATTTATTTTATAAAACTGCTGTTGATCTTTTTCTTAAAGCAAACTAAATTATTTATTTATAAAATTACAAATACTTTTTTGTTATTACATAAAAGACTTGGTTTACAAATAATTATCAAGAGAAATATACAATTTAATTATCTTTTCTATATTTAAAATTATACTATTTATACACTAAACAAGATTTATATTGATATTTATATAAATAGACACATTAGAAAAAAATTATTCGATCCTATGAATGCCTCAAAAATATCCGATGTATGTCAAAATAAGCAGCGGAAAGAAATATATCGGCGAATACTTAAAATAAAATAAAAGTAAAATAAAATAAAAGTCAGTTTTATATATCGTTTACGATAATCTTGATCTCAATTTTAAATGTCTTTATTCTATTGTTCGGTGATAAGTATCTCTCTTTGAATGTCATGAGAAATTGACAACGAACAAAGGGACGATCATTAATAGCGAATTGCGTCCCCGACAACGCGAGACGGGAAACAGACTTCGCGGCGCCTGTCGTTTCTAATTCCAACGAAGGATCCGTATATAATTCGATATTCATAATCAGAATTATTAGGTGCGGAGGCGCTTGTTCTCGCGACAACACGAGTACAATGCCTTGTCAAAGTGTTTCGTATCCTTTTACAACATTTTCCCGATTCGCTACAATACGCCGGCGGGCATTCCGGCAGCTTGCCGATCCGATTAATATCGCTTTATGCCGTTTTTATCGTAATTATTGAGAAGACGCGCGCTCTCAAAGAGAGGCTTTCCTACCTCGCGATGTTGCTCCGCTTGTTTTTTTATTAAATGCCGAGCTGCATAATTGCAGCTCCGAGACAGAGCGACTTATAAATTTACATGCAATTAGTAACCATACAAAACGAAAATGGCCGCACGTAAATTATTACGTGTCGCGAAGTTTTTTATAGACACTGAAAAAAATCTCGCGGATAGTCATAACGAAAATTATCTTAAGATATGAAAAATTAGCTAAAGTGGAGCAATGACTTTCAAGCGCTGTGATATCGCATATGTTTTGTATCTAATCAATATAGACGATGGAGATAGAATTTATATCTGAACAATTTGTCAAATTTAGTAAAAACATCTCTCTACGGTCAAATAACAGCCACTCATACTTTTTTTATAAAAGTGATTTGATTACGAGTGATTTGATTGAAATTTTTTTGCATATATTGTTGTTGCTATAAATTTTGCTATAAATATGCGACAGACAATTTTCTAGCAGATACAAAAAACAATGATACATTTTAACTGTAATATTTAGGCCAACAAAATATGTTTTTGAGTGACCATATCGTTATAACTCTCTTGTCGATTTTTAAGTTCTACGAATCCTTGACAAATAATTCTTCCTTCATTTATAAACGTCAATAACATAAAACTTTTTTGTATTAATACATCGATTTTAGAAAATAAATGGAGATATTTTTCTGTCTTTTACAACTCCGTTCGCATCAATATCGTTTTACTTCGCCGTAACCAAGAGGAATTATTCAGAAATATTGATAGACAACATGAATGTCGTACCGCTGGTTTTGTTTCCAAACTTCCGCAAATATCTTTTGATTCCACTTAATATGCGAAGAATATTCCTTTCCGCAAGAAAGCAACTTGCTTCTGTCTCTTATCCGTCAAACGTTAGAGTTACTATGCTTACAAACTTCATAATTTCTATACTAAATTCATACAACGATATTAGATTTCTCAGATACAGCAAAAGATGTTGTCACGATTCAAATTGCGAAAGAAATTAATATGCAAGATACATATCTCTCTTATTAAAAATAAAAAAAGAGAAAATATTATGATGATTTAAAAACAATTTTAAATTTATTAAAATTTTAATTAATAATTTCAATAATTTTATTTAATTAATAATTTCTAACGTTATTAATTAAAAAATTTATAACGTTATTAATTAAAAATTTAGGAATATTAATGTATTGTGGATTAATCAATGACTAATCTGTGCATAACTTAATATACAATAAAGAAAATATTTAAATAAATAATACATAAAATTCTATTTAAAGTTTAGAATGTTTTCTTCGTGAATTTGTTTATAATGAATAAATAATAATAAATAAGGTATAAAATCATTCATTTAATTTTATTTTCGGATTTAATGTGCATAAATGTTCATATCATTTTATTATTGTAAATTGCAACAAACATTCCTATTTCTCTTCTTTTTTTAATAAAAATTATATTTTTTGTTTCCCCATGATCCATAAACCGGAGCAAGAACAAAAATGCAATAGCAATCGAAATGTTAAAACTTGAGCTGCTTTCGTGATTGTATAACCATGGGATAATTTCGCTCTCCGGACTTTCGTAGCTTCTTTAATAAGCGAGAGCATTGTAACACGCCCGCGATTTTCGCCAAACGCTGGATTCAGCATCCGATCTCGGTTATGTAACCTTTCGCCAATCAATAGACCGATTGACAATCAACTGTTGAATGACTGCCGATTACAGTACGCGCGATAGAAACGCATCGATCGCGAACCTTCGCCTTTCCTTTATCACCTCTATCGATGTACTTGTCGCGAAACTTAATCGGGATTATTATATAAGGCTGTAATACGGGATTATTATATAATGTTGTAATGTTGTAATTCTCCGAATCATCGAAGTTCGCCATTTTAAACACCTTTCGCTCTTCTCGATCTCTTAATCAGAATTTTGTTCTTCCTCTCTTCTGAGGAACTGAGAAATGTCAAACTTGCTAAATATTAAAAATCGCAATTAACAGATGTTGACATTAAAATGGCAGAGATTGCCGGTGTTAAATAAAATTGTATCTTTTAGAACGATAATTAGTGTTAGTATTATAATTAATTCTCTTATAAAGCGACCATTTTGGAATAATTAAATTATATGATAACGTCGATTAAAGTGCAATTCTACTAATGTAGATTAGCTTTAATCACGGTTTAATTTACTCTTTGTTTGTTTCTAATTTTTGAAATTAAAAACATAAAAGTTGAATTAAACCCAGATTAAAATTAATCTATATTGATGAAAAATGAATATAACTTATTATAAATTTTTATAGATTAGTAATATTTTAGGTTAAAATTATATTAAGAATTTTGTTTCATTCGCTACGCTTTAAATATCTTGATTTTCACTTTTATTCGATGTTACATTTCTCGTAGCCTTGAAAAAAATTTGTCATCGTGGCCACACAAAGGATTTCCTTTCCTTGACGTCCTTCCTGTTTCCCGATGAAGCAAATAAAAATTGAAAAACGAAGAAGCCAGGATATTTTTCAATGG